GATCTCCATCCCTCCTTAGTGTGCCAGAGCACAATTTCTCATCCAAAGGCTGATGTCTGCATTAATTTGCCTCCTCCACAGTACACTCACACAATTCCGCGACACAATGGGTGGCTTTTCCATTTACCAGACAATCCGGTTTCTCTCCCTGATCCTGATGGTTATCATTTCCCGTCTGATCACTCTTCAATAGTAACTTTTTCTTGTTCAATTGGTGTGTCAACCACGGGAGCGACTGTTGCGTTTTCCACCACATTATCATAATTGGCACACGACGCATTTAGTTTTTCACAATCATTGTGACCCTCCTGGTTTGCCTTGTCACCAGCAGCCTGCTTAATTTCTTTAACGAGTCTGTGATTTCCCTGCAGCTCAGCGGACACCGCTCTCACTGAAAGCTCCCTCTCAACCAATGTGATTGATTCATCACGTGCCCGTGTCATTGTTTTGTCTCAGCCAAGCTCACACCTGTCTCCCTATTTCTCATGCCTCTGCTCTCTCCTGGTAAAGCTGATGGTGGGATCGATCGGAAGTGGGCAGATTGTGTTTGACCTTTCGTGTGTTGTGGCATTGGGAACTGGCATGATTCTGCTCTCGGTCTACACACACCGCGATTCTCGCAAATATGCGTCCCTGCACGTTGTGATCGCTCCCAGCCTGTGGGCCATTGCCTCGCTGGTGGTGTTGTGTTTCTGCTCTCGTGATTTATATTTCCCTCTGAAACGTTGGTTACATTATCGCTTTCCCTGGGTGTTGGAGAGTTATTGTCTTTAGCTCTGTACAGCCAAGCTCTGTGAGCCTTATCCTCTATGTGGTCTCAGGAGGCTGTCTCTGAATTCAAGACCATTCCCACAATCTCTGTAATCTCTGGACTCAAGGACCCGAAAAACATAACTTTGAACCTTTTGTCACCTTCGTGATACTGATCCACATCACCCGCACAGTACGCTCTTTTAAACCGTAGGAGGTAATCTCGCGGATCCTCGTCTGCACACTGGGTCATAGATTTTGCAGCGTTAAATCCCTCAGACCATGTTAAATATTCTCCAAACTTCCGAATCACTGCCAGGCTCAGCTTTTTGAAATCGTTCCGAATCTTACATGATAGCGACTTTACCCATTGTATTGACTGCTCGTGCAAGCTACGTTTCAGTAAACTGGCTTTCTCATCCGTTTTACTCAAATCCCTGATCAGTGCTTCTGCTTCCACCGTTGCGATGTGTGTGTATATCCCTGTTCTTGTCGTGTGGATCGAAGTAGGGAATTCTGACGAGAGCTTTGTCCATCAATTTCAGAGTCTTACTACTGAATGAGTATTCTGACAGTTGATCATCGTCAGAGGCGTCAGATTCATATGAGCTGTCACCATCACGGTGGCGCTGCTTAACATAACTTTTGTAGTGCCTTTTGCACCTGTAATGTGAGTCAACTTTGCTCGGTGACTCCTGCTTATCCCATGGCTCATGGTTGTGTGATGTGCGTCTTTCTGGAAAGTAATCTCTGCCATAGATTCCACGTCGGTTGTGCTTGCGTGGAATGTGTCTACCAAGTGATCTGACTTGTCTTGTCACTCGCCTCGCCCCAGCTCCGCCCTTTTTTGCTCTATCAATACGTAATATCCTGGTGACTTAGGGTTAATATTCTGTCTCTCTCTTACCTCGAAGTTTTCAGCCTCATGTTTTCATGTTTTTATCCGTATTTCTCCTTCCCTCCCCTAGAATTGCGAGGGGGTTTCTTTATTAAAATTGCTTTGCATGGTAGCCATTCTTTTTGTGGAACCCGTCCCTGGGTTACGTCCATATGGCTCGGAGTGTGGTAAACTGCCACTCCCGTATGTGTTATGTGTATCAACATCTGGGGGTTTTGCTGGTGCAGCTAGTGCCGATTCTTTCATTCCAAGCATCTCTTCTCTGCTCGCCCTTATTCCTGGTCGCGGTTTCTCTCAGTCTTTTCCCCACACTCTCTGGCCCCCACTCTCTACCCCATTATCGTGCAACTGCCAACTTTAGCAAAGACGCGCGGCGGGGTCTCTCCCGTCCTTCTTCAGGGCTGTGCCTTTATCCGGTCTACACACGCCGTGCATCTCAAGGTTCCTCATTAATTTAGTCTCGCTGTGGTGGGGGAGTGTTCTTGGAGTCAGTGCTGGTTTTCGTCTGCCTGCTTCAGCACTTGGTCTGTGATCTCTGACCCTGGAAATAATTATTTATTTAATTCCATGGCCCGTCCATGACCTCCACATGCCATGCTGACGGCCTGGGTTGGGTTGTTTTTTATCATTATTAAAAAAAAAACAATAGAAATATGTATCTATATGTATCGAAAAATTACTTGTTAATATCAAGATGGAAAAGGGGCCATATATATGTGTACACTAACGCTAACTAATATTAGTATGTGTACACTAAAACTAACGATTATTAGTTTGTGTACACTAATACTAACTTATATTAGTGTGTGTACACTAATCCTAAGTAATATTAATCTGAACACTAATACTAACTAATATTAGTGTGTGTACACTAATGCTAACGAATATTAGTTTGTCTACACTAATACTAACTAATATTAGTGTGTGTACACTAATACTAACTAATATTAGTGTGTGTACACTAATACTAACTAATATTAGTTTGTCTACACTAACACTAACTAATATTAGTGTGTGTACACTAATACTAACTAATATTAGTGTGTGTACACTAATACTAACTAATTTTAGTATGTGCACACTAATACTAACTAATATTAGTGTGTGTTCACAAATAATAACTAATATTAGTGTGTGTACACTAATACTCACTAATATTAGTGTGTACACTAATACTAACTAATATTAGTGTGTACACTAATACTAACTAATATTAGATTGTGTACACTAACACTAACTAATATTAGTGTGTGTACACTAATACTAACTAATTTCAGTGTGTGTACACTAATACTAACTAATTTCAGTGTGTGAACACTAATACTAACTAATTTTAGTATGTGCACACTAATACCAACTAATATTAGTGTGTGTACACTAATACTAACTAATTTTAGTTTGTGTACACTGATACTAACTAATATTAGTATGTGTACACTAATACTATCTAATATTAGTATGTGTACACTAATACTATCTAATATTAGTATGTGTACACTAATACTAACTAATATTAATATGTGTACACTAATACTAACAAATATTAGTTTGTGTACACTAATACTAACAAATATTAGTAAGTGTACACTAATGCTAACTAATATTACTAATACTAACACATATTAGTAAGTGTACACTAATACTAACTAATATTATTAAGTGTAAACTAATACTAACTAATATTAATGTGTACACTAATACTAACTAACATCAGTGTTTACACTAATACTAACTAATATTAGTTTTTGTACACTAATACTAACTAATATTAGTGTGTGTACACGAATACTAACTAATATTAGTGTGTGTACATTAATTCTAACTAATATTAGTATGTGTACACTAATTCTAACTAATATTAGTATGTGCACACTAATACTAACGAATATTAGTGTGTATATACTAAAACTAACTAATAATAGTTTGTGTACAATAATACTAACTAATATTAGTGTGTGCACACTAATACTAACTAATATTAATAATAGTAACTAATATTAGTATGTGTACACTAATGATAACTAATATTAGTGTGTGTATGTAGAGGCATTAACCACGCACTATTCGGTAAACTGCATTTCCACCAGGTGTCAAGGGTGCAGTGCAGCGTTACCTCGGGGTACACAACGGTTGGGGTCAGACGAGGTGAAGTGGATCGTAGCCACAGTTTTCTGAGAATCAATCGGCCAGTACCACTTGTGAATGTGTGATTGGTTATATCAGGCCACGAACGAGTATAAGAAGGGTGACCCAACAGAGCTCGGGGAGTTCTCTCCCTACACGAAGACCGAAGACTGGGCTGAAGACTAGCCAGGACCCTGGACCAGCCTTCCAGCCCATTTGAGGGCTAAGGTTCGGCAGAGCCAGTGGTCACGACCCACCGGGCCAGCGGTGGGTCAGATAGCCTCCCCTAGGTCCAAGCCGGAGGACTCTAGGCTAGGATAGCGGTAGACGTGTAAGTCCCGCCAAGTGCAGAGGCTGTATCTCCTTAGGTATCAAGGAGGTTAGCGGTAGACGTGCAAGTCCCGCCAAGCTAAGTCCGGAGGCTGTTCCTCCTTAGGGTATCGGGTGAGGGCACCGTATACCCCTTTGTGTGTTAAGGACGGTGTAAGAGAAGGATTAAAATAAACAGAGTGTGCTTCCTAAGAAGTTTATTCGTCTTTACAACACTAAATGTACACTAATACTAACTAATATTAGTGTGTGTACACTAATTCTAACTAATATTAGTGTGTGTACACTAACAGTTACTAATATTAGTGTGTACACTAATACCAACTAACATTAGTGTGTACACTAATACTAACTAATATTAGTGTGTGTACACTAACGCTAACTAATATTAGTGTGTGTACACTAATACTAGCTAATATTAGTATGTGTACACTAATACTAACTAATATTAGTATGTGTACACTAATACTAAATAATATTAGTATGTGTACACTCATACTAACTAATATTAGTATGTGTACACTAATACTAACTAATATTAGTGTGTGTACAGTAATACTAACTAATATTAGTGTGTGTACACTAATACTAACTAATATTAGTGTATGTACACTTATACTAACTAATATTAGTATGTGTACACTAATACTAAATAATATTAGTATGTGTACACTAATACTAACTGATATTAGTGTGTGTGCACTAATACTAACTGATATTAGTGTGTGTACACTAATACTAACTGATATTAGTGTGTGTACACTAATACTAACTGATATTAGTGTGTGTACACTAATACTAACTGATATTAGTGTGTGTACACTAATACTAACTAATATTAGTGTGTGTACACTACTACTAACTAATATTAGTGTGTGTGCACGAATACTCACCACAGATGGACGCTCACCGACTCTGGACACAAACTCAGCTCACGACGACCTCCAGATTTCCTCGGATCTCAGGACGGCGACGCTGAGTGGTGTCCCCCAGGGTCGCCCCCATCACCCACACCGCTTTGAACGCTGGTCACAAGCGCTGTGCTCTGAGAGCTTCTCGTCCGGTCAGCACTACTGGGAGGTGGACGTGGGGAGCGCGAGGCGGTGTTGTCGAGTTGGAGTTGCGTACGGGACGATCCCACGGAGAGGGAGTGATGCAGAGTGCCTCCTGGGAGAGAGTGACGTCTCCTGGTGTCTACAGAAACTTGGTGACAGCTTCTCAGTGCTGCATGGCGGGGTAGAGACGTCACTGTCGGTGCCGCAGCCTCCGCCGAGAGTCGGGGTCCACCTGGACTGGGACGCGGGGCTGCTGTCGTTTTACAACGCTGACTCCATGGGGCCTTTGCACTCGTTTCACCACACATTCACTCAGCCCCTACACCCTGGGCTGGCGGTGGGGAGGGGGTTGTTTTGGGGGTTGTTTGGGGGGTTGTGGTATGGTATAGTTGGTGAGTCAGTGAGGATTGTGGATCTGAGTGGTACGTCCTGAGAGAGGTGAACATGAACAGCGCAGAGGATAGACGCCACGACGCCACGACGCACGGCGCTCGCCACCCTCGTTGGTAAAGTCACGAAGATAACAAAAAAGGTAAAAAAAGAAACAAATTAATAATAAACATTAAATACAAATTTAAAATATAAAACCCAAAGCTCATGACGTTTTATATCGCAACACAAGCGGTCGTCATCAGTCAAGAAAAGTTTTATGTCAAAACAATAATATTGATTTTAAAATGTATAAATGTATGCGTACGACAGTGGCATTGTAACGCTTGTATCGTCGATTCTACAATAAAAACAGACAACACATACAACAACAATGTAGTTGTGTACAGTGACATTCGTGCTCACTGTTCATTAATTAAACACGAGGACCAAATCGTCTACACAGCCACTGCCAAGCAAATTAAATCTACAAATTAATAATGAAAGAGACGGCGCCAAACACCAAAGGCACCAACAATGTCCCAGCTGTTCAAGTCGTCTGCTGCTGCTGCGTCATGGACGTGGTGACGTCACCACGCTCACTCCCACAACCACCACCACAACCACCACGACAATAACCACTACAACCACTACCACAACCAGCACCACAACCAGCACCACAACCACCACCACAACCGCCACCACCACAACCGCCACCACCACAACAACAACCACCACAACAACTACCAAAATAACTACAACAACCACCACAACCACCACAAGAAACACCACCAAAACCGCCACCACAACCGCCACCACCACCACAACAACCACTACAACCGCCAACACCCTATCAACCACCACAACAACCACCACATCCACCATAATACCCACAACAACAACCACCACAATAACAACAACAACCACAACAACAACAACCAACACAATCATCACAACCACCACAACCATCACCACAACAATCACCAAAAACACAACAACCACCACAACCGCCACCACAGCCACCACCACAACAACAACCACAACCACCACCACAACCACCGTAATACCCACAACAACAACCACCACAATAACCACAGCAACCAGAACAACAACAACCACAACCAACACAATAATCACCACCACCACAACCATCAACACAACAACCACCGCAACCACCTCCACAACAACCACCACAAACACAACAACCACCACAACCGCCACCAAAACCACCACCACAACAAAAAACACAACCACCACAAGAAACACCACCACAACCGCCACCACAACCGCCACCACCATCACAACAACCACTACAATCGCCAACACTCTATCAACCACCACAACAACCACCACAACCACCCTAATACCCACTACAACAACCAAAACAATAACAACATCCATGACAACAACCACAACCAACACAATCGTCACCAACACAACCACCACCACAACCATCACCACAACAACCACCGCAACCACCTCCACAACAACCACCACAAACACAACAACCACCAGCACCGCCACCACAACCACGACCACAACAACCACAACCACAACCACCACCACAGCAACCACCACCAGAACCACCACCACAACCACCACAACCGACACAACCACAACCTCAACAACCACCACAAACACCACAACAACCACCACAAGCACCACCACCACCGCAACATCAACAACCACCACAACCACCACAACAACCACCACAACTACCACCACAACTACCACCACATCCACCACCACAACAACCACCGCAACCACCTCCACAACCACAACCAGAGCAACCACCAACATAGCCACAACCACCACCACAACCACCACCACAACCGCCACTACAACAAAACCACCACAACCACCTTAAAACCCACCACAACAACCACCACAACAACAACAACCACAACCACCACAACAACCACCACCACAACCATCACGACAACCACCACAACAACCACCACAACCACCGCAACCAGCACCACAACAACCACAACAACCACAACAACCACCACAACAATCGAAACAACGACCACAACCGCCACAACAACCACCACAACAACTACCACAACCACCACTACAACCGTCACGACAATGACCACCACAACCACCACCACGACCACCACGACAACCAGCACAACAGCCACAACAACCACCACCACCATAACCACCACCACCACAACCAACACCACAACAACCACAAGAACCACCACAACAACTACAACCACCACAACAATCACAACAACAACCACAACCAAAACTTGGGTCGTAATTACATGGTCACGACGGGGCTGCTGAGCCACCGTGGATAGAAAACACCCACAACACAAACGGGTCAGCAGGCAGGTAGGGGGGGATGGTGTCACGAACGGCGGGAAAAACAGGACCGGTCCTCTGATTGGTAGGACAGATCCGCTTGTTTAGAGGATGAAAACCGGATGTCTGAGAGAGCACCGGTCCGGGCAGAGTGGCGGGAAATCCGAGCCACTTGATTGGACGGGAAGCCAGCGGTTCAGCACCGATTTATCTTTGATGTAGAGGACAATAAAAAGGGTAGAGAAGGTAGGGAGAGTTGGTTCGTATTGTACTCAAGCCAGGCTTGGGGCCGTCGACTTTCCAGCCACTCGAATATCCATGTGATGAGTCGAAGTGCAGGGAGGATCCGACCCAGCAGCTCCGTACGAATCGAACTGTGAGTACCCGAGAGTGAGATATTGAGGCAATTGTGAGATTGTCTTAGGTGAGTGATTTGAAAGAGCCGATACAGATCGGGTCTTAGACCATCGGGAGAGAGGTTAGATCTGCCCTGCTGACTCAAACTGACTCGGGTAATTTAGCCTCAGTCTCGCTGAGAATAAACTGTTGGGGATCAATAAACCTTGTCGATTGGTTTCGTTGTACCCTGTGTTTGTGCGTGAGTGTGTATTTACCCACGTGTTTGCGCTCGCCCATGCGTGTAGCTCGTGGTTAGCAACTGCGTGTGGTGAACGGCGGCGGACTCGTACAGGGGCACGTCAGATTACACATATGCCCTTTTGTTTAACATGTGCGTGAGGCTAACAGGCGGCGTACACGCGAGATTATATGTGCGGCCTTTTGTTTAGTGTGTGCGTGGGGTGAACGGGCGGCGTACCCGTGAGTTTGTTCATACAGCCATTTAAATAAATCTCCGAGACAACCCCCCAATCGGCTGCGTGTGTGCGAGTGACGTCCCTGCCCTCTGACCCCCGACCCCGAGTCCCGTGCGCGTGATGGGTGCGTGGCACGGGAGAGGAGCGATGTCGGATTTCGAGTGAGTGGGTGTAAGTGAGTGTGCGCAGAGATTGTCTGAATTGATCCCAGGTGGCTAAGCGCCAGCCATGAAACATGCCCCGAGGGGCCGCAGGGAAGGGGGGGGGGAGTCGGTGAGCAGTAACCCTCCCTTGGACACGGAAGAGGGGAGCAGTGGATCCCCCGTGAGCGAGGAGCCGGGGGTCAGCCTCCCCGACATCTCCCCTCTCTCCCTCCCTCAACGCCTTTCACTACCTCCTTCTCTCCGTCCTTACCTCCACTCCCTCCCTCTACTTCCTCCACTCCCTCCCTCCACTCCCTCCCTCCCTCAATCCCCCCTCCCTCCTCCCTTCCTCACCCTCCCCTCCCTCCATCTGGGTTCTACGTTCTCCCAGAAATGTTTAAGCCCCTAAAAAAAACTTGCCCGACGCCACTTGAATTTGTAGAGGAGGAGCGCAGATTTCGGGGCAATCGTTGGTGGCCCCGGCTCCTCACCACCTGGCTGCAGCCTATTCTGCTTCTCGTCTGTGGATCCTCCCTCCTGGCGCCTCTGAGGTCGTCCTCTCTGCACGAGAGCGAGCGACTTACCGTGCAGCGTGCTACAAGTTGAAATAATCGTTCTTGTTGTTGTTGTCAACCCACTCCTGGACTCACACACTTCCCATTAGCATGGTTGGCGATGTACGGTGCGAAAGAAGTTCGCACGTACATAGATATGCACACGGACAGAGGCCGCTCCATGCCGTGCGGGTTATCGGAGTTCTTTGACCGTACTTTGCCACTCTGCCAAGCGTGGGTTGTGAAGACGGGACACGTGTACAGACGTTGAGAGACTATCACAGCACAGGGCCAGCCACGGATGTCGCTGCACTGCCCCCTACTGCCCACGACGTCGTTTCAGCGTCACGACCGCAGGGAGCGTCATGGAGACGAAGGCGAGGAGCGTCAAGGAGGGTGTCACGAACCTGCTCCATGTGGCGCCATCTGGCCACCTCGCAGCCCCTAGCGTCACCCTCGCCTTCAAAAGGCTTCGTCATAAGCCGGTTTCCATCGCTCGGTGTTCATCAAGATGCTTGTGAAGCGTGCTCAGCGATTGCATTCCACTGCCATCGCTACACTTACAGAGTGTCTCACCCTCTTTTCGTCCCTCCTCCCCCTTCGCCCTCCTCCTCCCCCCTCCTCATCCCCTCCTCCTCCCTCTCCCCCCTTCTCCTACCCCTCCCCCCTCCTCCTACCCCCTCCTCCTCCCCTCCCTCTCCTTCGCCCCCCCCCCTCCCTCCCTCTTCCTCCTCCCCGTCCTCCCCCTCCATCTGCTCCCTCTCCTCCTTCATATTTTATGATCTTCAGAAAGTAGCAATCGATTATTATTCATTTCTGTTCAGGATACCAACAGCCAACTAAAGAGTGACACTAGGATGTAAAGTATGTTGGTGCACAAGACACTGACACAAGGCTCAGAGCATCATTCCACATCAAAGCGCCATGGCGGCTAGGAGATGTTTAGTACCTCGCCTGGTGTACAGGAGGTCGTGGGTTCGGTCCCAAACCTGACGCCTGCTGTATATTTGGAGTTTCCGTGTCTCTCCCTCCCTGTAGTCGCGTGGATTTTTCCGGTTTTACCTCAACATTTAGTATTATTAGTATTAGGCTACAATACATTTCTACGCGATGAGCCACTTCATTAAGCTGTCGTCACGTGTGGCGAGGTCGCTTCTGTGAGTAGAACTATGAAAGGGCCGCATAGCTCAGTGGGCCTTGCCTGACAAATCGCCCGATGCAGCTGCTTGTTGTTGTAGTCACCAGCGAGACGTCATGGAACTCAAATTGTCAACGTTGCAGTGGGCTCACTCTCTAACACACAGCCGGTTTGTGCTGAAGTAGTCACTGATTGTGACGTCACCACGCACGTGCCCATGCATAAAGACTGTGGCGCGTGTCTCCATAGCAACCGGCCTCTGTATTAATCAGCTGTTCACATTTAAGGCAGTAAAAACAACTTATATCGATCTTCTTGTATCACTCGATAACAGCAGAGCCCTGACTAGCGGAGACAACGACAAAGATCCCCCGTGTAGCCTTAGCAGACTGTTGGGTCAAGTGCTGTTAGCAGGTAGCAGCACCTGTGAAGGCCAACACTGTGGCACGTGAGGGGGTAGGAGGCTAGCACCATTCCCGACCGCCTTTGTCTCCCTAGTGGTGATGTTTACTACACACCACACCAGGTACACATTTGAGGCTGAGTCGATCTAGGGGATGCCCAGGACCATTTGTTCGGATCATTCATCACCGGAATTGGCAGCTGTGAGCGGGAATCCAACTCGGTCGGCTCGAATTCGTAGCGCAGCGTGCCGCTAACCGCTGCGCCACCGCTCCCCACGACAGGTGGCAGCGCAGCCCGGAGCGGCAGAGACGCGGACACCGTGGGGCTCCCATCACGAGGAGACCCCTCGCCGGCTGGCGACCTGTTGCTCTCGTTCCCGGTTTGAACTGCTCCTGAGCCGACCCACCGGTCGAACTGAGCCCCGAGGGTCCGGCTCCAGTGAGCCGACCGAACTCAGCTGAGTTCTGAACGAACTGGTCGAACTCTCTCGTGAGCCGACCCCCGGTCGAACTCCGCCGAGTTCCGAGCGAACTGATTGAACTGATCGAACGGAGGTATCAATGCTGCAGGGTCCTCTCTTTATGCCAAAAATCCCTTCACTTGGATCCTGCCCACAAGGCGGAGCTCCTTCCGATTTTGCTGTGTCAGGATCTGTCCGTATGTGTGTGTCCATACGTGTGTCAGTGTGTGTCCTTGTGTGCGTCATCCACGGCCTATAACGCTGTCCTCCTCCTTCCAATAACCATCAAAAAGTAAAACAACCGGACATTACAAATTGTCTTGAAGGCGTCTCTCTGTCTGCCGCTCTGTTTGCCTGCACGAGAGGGAGGGCAAGCTTCCCTCCCTGCATCATGTCCCCGACACACAAGGGAATGGTTAAAAAGTGTTAAGTTATCATTTCATTTAATCATACCTCCACAGTTATGATTCTGTATTGAACCCAAGGTCTGTGTTAGCTTCCCGTTGTGGTGTTTGACTCATTTTCCCCGAGCGTATACACATTCCTACCCCGCGCTGCGGGGAGACAAAGACGGCCGGGATCTCCCTTCCTCTCCGGCCCTGGGTTTAACATCGCCCAAGTCATGCAGTTTATCTTTGTGTAAGCGTAGTATAGTTCAGGGTGAATAGCGCCAACATGAACGTTATGGATGAAATAATGTATTGTTATATCTTACTTAAACACTTGCTAGGGTTTTCGCTGACACGCTGATATTCCAAGCATCTCTTCTCCACTTGCCCTTATTCCTGCTCGCTGTTTCTCTCAGTCTCTGCCCCACACTCTCTGGCCCCCACTCTCTGCCCCATTATTGTGCAACTGCCAGCTTTAGCAAAGACACCCGGAGGGGTCTCTCCCGCCCTTTTTCAGGGCTGCACCTTTATCCGGTCTACACATGCCGTGCATCTCAAGTTCCTCATTAATTTCGTCTCGCTGTGGTGGGGGAGTGTCCTTGGAGTCAGTTCTGGTTTTCGTCTGCCTGCTTCAGCACTTGGTTTGTGACCTCTGACCCTGGTAGTAATTATTTATTTAATTCCATGGCCCGTCCATGACCTCCACATGCCATTCTGATGGCCTGGGTTGGGTTGTTTTTAATCATTGTTAAAAAAAAAAATGTATCTATATGTATCGAAAATTTACTTGTTAATATTAAGATGGAAAAGGGGCCATATATACAACACCGCCCTTTTAAAAATGATCGATGGTCAATTGGCCACAGGTCATTTTCAAAATAAAAAATATATCCCCTTTTCCATCATTAATCATCAATTGTCCTCCAGCTTTGGCTGATTTATCCTTACAACGTGCGCATACGTGTCACAACTTAGCATGATTACATTTGAAATAAGAAAAGAAATACAAAAAGGAAGGTTAAACAAGGAAAATTCTTTTCCTGACTACATGTTATAGGAGATGTCGTAAAAAATATGTTTTTTTATGGTTACCCTTGGGTGGAATCGTCAGGCCTTGACTCTACCTCTGTTCCTGGGCTCGAATGGTATGTGGCTTGTCCCTGCGATTCGTTTTTTTTAAGTTCGGCATTCATTTTGGCCATATGGTATGCTATGGTTAGGATAGCTATGACTTGTATGATCATTCCTGTTGCCCCTGTGATTCCCAGTCCCACCCGTTGATTCCGCTGATATCCGGCTTCTTCGGTCGCCGAAGTGAGATCTGTTACGTTAACCTCTGACTCGCTGATTAATTTCACCATATGAAATGCTTTACTCTTCAACAGGTTAGACAGAGTTTCTGCTTATTTCAAACTTGTGGTTTCGGAATGTGTTTACTATTTATACCTCTGCTTGATGTAGGCTTTTGTCTAAATTATATAATACCCTGTCCCCTATGTGTACGAATGTTCCTCTTGGTACTGTGACCTGGGCAATGTGGCTTGGAATCGGAACTTTCATGGTTACGGAGTGTTGATCGGTGGAAACGGTTGCCGTATCTAGAGGGGTGCTTACTAACCACTGAGCATCGGCTATCATGGCCACTGTTTCGGTTCTTTCGTTGGGCTTACTTAGCTTGAACTTGCAAGTCTCCCTGGAGGTTAGGGTTGACAGACTGCACATTATTTCTGCGGTATTGATTAGGAATGGTTCCCCTGGGCAGAGCCAATGAACCTCTTTCATTATTTGGCACATGTTTAGGTCAGGCACTAGGTACTTAAGGGGGCCCTCTTCCTGATAGACCACCACTAATGGGGTTTCCATCTTAGAGTAAATGTCATTATTCCATGTACCCATGCTCAATACTGTCCGCAATCAAAATACATTTTCGGGTTTGACCAGTGGTAAAAAAAAAAAATGCCAGCTGTCTGGTCTGGGAGTCCACATGTATTGGTGTGGCTGTACCCATGTAAAAGGCAATTTGTACCTGTGTTGTACTGATTGTTTCCAGGGATGCTGCTTGTAGCACATTTTTTTTCATTGTTGGAGTTACCAGATATCAAGGAATTTGTCCTTGGATAAGATCACTGATGCTGCCGCTGGTGTTACGCAACAAGTCTTGGATCAACCGTTGAATTGGCTGTCGAGTATTCTCTTCTTCGCATAGACCTCGGATTGCGAAACCCAATTCTTGGATTGTTAAGTTAATCATGGCGGAGTGCAGGCTAACGAGAACCACGGTGTCTCTCTGTCTTTCTCATGTTACCTCTCTGCCACCTCTGTACCAAGTCATTGATAACCTGACTGACACTTTTAGTCAAGAGTGTATCATATCTCTCATGGCCAGGTATCTTAGAGTTACCTATGACGCTTCCATCCAACATCATCACATCGTCGTCTTGGTTGCTCCTGTTATGGCCTTGGCCAAATGAGCACGGTTTCTGGTTCGTATCTGTACTAAATTTGTTTTTTATCCCTCTCTTTCCATGTGAGATTGTGTGGCGTGAAGTTATGCTGTGCGTAACCAGGATTAACATACACCACGAGTTTCCGTGCTCGACTGTTGGGGTCATTTGCATTCTTCGCAGCTTGGTGCACCTCTGTTGACTGCGGAAGTCGATTCGACTCTGGGCCACGATTCGATTCCTTACCACGATTCGATTCTATGCTTTTGCACGTGCTGGATTTCAACATATTCCTCGATTCACCATGGATCTTTATCTCCTCCACTTCAACACTCTGATCTCCATCCCTCCTTAGTGTGCCAGAGCACAATTTCTCATCCAAAGGCTGATGTCTGCATTAATTTGCCTCCTCCACAGTACACTCACACAATTCCGCGACACAATGGGTGGCTTTTCCATTTACCAGACAATCCGGTTTCTCTCCCTGATCCTGATGGTTATCATTTCCCGTCTTATCACTCTTCAATAGTAACTTTTTCTTGTTCAATTGGTGTGTCAACCACGGGAGCGACTGTTGCGTTTTCCACCACATTATCATAATTGGCACACGACGCATTTAGTTTTTCACAATCATTGTGACCCTCCTGGTTTGCCTTGTCACCAGCAGCCTGCTTAATTTCTTTAACGAGTCTGTGATTTCCCTGCAGCTCAGCGGACACCGCTCTCACTGAAAGCTCCCTCTCAACCAATGTGATTGATTCATCACGTGCCCGTGTCATTGTTTTGTCTCAGCCAAGCTCACACCTGTCTCCCTATTTCTCATGCCTCTGCTCTCTCCTGGTAAAGCTGATGGTGGGATCGATCGGAAGTGGGCAGATTGTGTTTGACCTTTCGTGTGTTGTGGCATTGGGAACTGGCATGATTCTGCTCTCGGTCTACACACACCGCGATTCTCGCAAATATGCGTCCCTGCACGTTGTGATCGCTCCCAGCCTGTGGGCCATTGCCTCGCTGGTGGTGTTGTGTTTCTGCTCTCGTGATTTATATTTCCCTCTGAAACGTTGGTTACATTATCGCTTTCCCTGGGTGTTGGAGAGTTATTGTCTTTAGCTCTGTACAGCCAAGCTCTGTGAGCCTTATCCTCTATGTGGTCTCAGGAGGCTGTCTCTGAATTCAAGACCATTCCCACAATCTCTGTAATCTCTGGACTCAAGGACCCGAAAAACATAACTTTGAACCTTTTGTCACCTTCGTGATACTGATCCACATCACCCGCACAGTACGCTCTTTTAAACCGTAGGAGGTAATCTCGCGGATCCTCGTCTGCACACTGGGTCATAGATTTTGCAGCGTTAAATCCCTCAGACCATGTTAAATATTCTCCAAACTTCCGAATCACTGCCAGGCTCAGCTTTTTGAAATCGTTCCGAATCTTACATGATAGCGACTTTACCCATTGTATTGACTGCTCGTGCAAGCTACGTTTCAGTAAACTGGCTTTCTCATCCGTTTTACTCAAATCCCTGATCAGTGCTTCTGCTTCCACCGTTGCGATGTGTGTGTATATCCCTGTTCTTGTCGTGTGGATCGAAGTAGGGAATTCTGACGAGAGCTTTGTCCATCAATTTCAGAGTCTTACTACTGAATGAGTATTCTGACAGTTGATCATCGTCAGAGGCGTCAGATTCATATGAGCTGTCACCATCACGGTGGCGCTGCTTAACATAACTTTTGTAGTGCCTTTTGCACCTGTAATGTGAGTCAACTTTGCTCGGTGACTCCTGCTTATCCCATGGCTCATGGTTGTGTGATGTGCGTCTTTCTGGAAAGTAATCTCTGCCATAGATTCCACGTCGGTTGTGCTTGCGTGGAATGTGTCTACCAAGTGATCTGACTTGTCTTGTCACTCGCCTCGCCCCAGCTCCGCCCTTTTTTGCTCTATCAATACGTAATATCCTGGTGACTTAGGGTTAATATTCTGTCTCTCTCTTACCTCGAAGTTTTCAGCCTCATGTTTTCATGTTTTTATCCGTATTTCTCCTTCCCTCCCCTAGAATTGCGAGGGGGTTTCTTTATTAAAATTGCTTTGCATGGTAGCCATTCTTTTTGTGGAACCCGTCCCTGGGTTACGTCCATATGGCTCGGAGTGTGGTAAACTGCCACTCCCGTATGTGTTATGTGTATCAACATCTGGGGGTTTTGCTGGTGCAGCTAGTGCCGATTCTTTCATTCCAAGCATCTCTTCTCTGCTCGCCCTTATTCCTGGTCGCGGTTTCTCTCAGTCTTTTCCCCACACTCTCTGGCCCCCACTCTCTACCCCATTATCGTGCAACTGCCAACTTTAGCAAAGACGCGCGGCGGGGTCTCTCCCGTCCTTCTTCAGGGCTGTGCCTTTATCCGGTCTACACACGCCGTGCATCTCAAGGTTCCTCATTAATTTAGTCTCGCTGTGGTGGGGGAGTGTTCTTGGAGTCAGTGCTGGTTTTCGTCTGCCTGCTTCAGCACTTGGTCTGTGATCTCTGACCCTGGAAATAATTATTTATTTAATTCCATGGCCCGTCCATGACCTCCACATGCCATGCTGACGGCCTGGGTTGGGTTGTTTTTTATCATTATTTAAAAAAAAAACAATAGAAATATGTATCTATATGTATCGAAAAATTACTTGTTAATATCAAGATGGAAAAGGGGCCATATATATGTGTACACTAACGCTAACTAATATTAGTATGTGTACACTAAAACTAACGATTATTAGTTTGTGTACACTAATACTAACTTATATTAGTGTGTGTACACTAATCCTAAGTAATATTAATCTGAACACTAATACTAACTAATATTAGTGTGTGTACACTAATGCTAACGAATATTAGTTTGTCTACACTAATACTAACTAATATTAGTGTGTGTACACTAATACTAACTAATATTAGTGTGTGTACACTAATACTAACTAATATTAGTTTGTCTACACTAACACTAACTAATATTAGTGTGTGTACACTAATACTAACTAATATTAGTGTGTGTACACTAATACTAACTAATTTTAGTATGTGCACACTAATACTAACTAATATTAGTGTGTGTTCACAAATAATAACTAATATTAGTGTGTGTACACTAATACTCACTAATATTAGTGTGTACACTAATACTAACTAATATTAGTGTGTACACTAATACTAACTAATATTAGATTGTGTACACTAACACTAACTAATATTAGTGTGTGTACACTAATACTAACTAATTTCAGTGTGTGTACACTAATACTAACTAATTTCAGTGTGTGAACACTAATACTAACTAATTTTAGTATGTGCACACTAATACCAACTAATATTAGTGTGTGTACACTAATACTAACTAATTTTAGTTTGTGTACACTAATACTAACTAATATTAGTATGTGTACACTAATACTATCTAATATTAGTATGTGTACACTAATACTAACTAATATTAATATGTGTACACTAATACTAACAAATATTAGTTTGTGTACACTAATACTAACAAATATTAGTAAGTGTACACTAATGCTAACTAATATTACTAATACTAACACATATTAGTAAGTGTACACTAATACAAACTAATATTATTAAGTGTAAACTAATACTAACTAATATTAATGTGTACACTAATACTAACTAACATCAGTGTTTACACTAATACTAACTAATATTAGTTTTTGTACGCTAATACTAACTAATATTAGTGTGTGTACACGAATACCAGCTAATATTAGTGTGTGTACATTAATTCTAACTAATATTAGTATGTGTACACTAATTCTAACTAATATTAGTATGTGCACACTAATACTAACGAATATTAGTGTGTATATACTAAAACTAACTAATAATAGTTTGTGTACAATAATACTAACTAATATTAGTGTGTGCACACTAATACTAACTAATATTAATAATAGTAACTAATATTAGTATGTGTACACTAATGATAACTAATATTAGTGTGTGTATGTAGAGGCATTAACCACGCACTATTCGGTAAACTGCATTTCCACCAGGTGTCAAGGGTGCAGTGCAGCGTTACCTCGGGGTACACAACGGTTGGGGTCAGACGAGGTGAAGTGGATCGTAGCCACAGTTTTCTGAGAATCAATCGGCCAGTACCACTTGTGAATGTGTGATTGGTTATATCAGGCCACGAACGAGTATAAGAAGGGTGACCCAACAGAGCTCGGGGAGTTCTCTCCCTACACGAAGACCGAAGACTGGGCTGAAGACTAGCCAGGACCCTGGACCAGCCTTCCAGCCCATTTGAGGGCTAAGGTTCGGCAGAGCCAGTGGTCACGACCCACCGGGCCAGCGGTGGGTCAGATAGCCTCCCCTAGGTCCAAGCCGGAGGACTCTAGGCTAGGATAGCGGTAGACGTGTAAGTCCCGCCAAGTCCAGAGGCTGTATCTCCTTAGGTATCAAGGAGGTTAGCGGTAGACGTGCAAGTCCCGCCAAGCTAAGTCCGGAGGCTGTTCCTCCTTAGGGTATCGGGTGAGGGCACCGTATACCCCTTTGTGTGTTAAGGACGGTGTAAGAGAAGGATTAAAATAAACAGAGTGTGCTTACTAAGAAGTTTATTCGTCTTTACAACACTAAATGTACACTAATACTAACTAATATTAGTGTGTGTACACTAATACTAACTAATATTAGTGTGTGTACACTAACACTTACTAATATTAGTGTGTACACTAATACCAACTAACATTAGTGTGTACACTAATACTAACTAATATTAGTGTGTGTACACTAACGCTAACTAATATTAGTGCGTGTACACTAATACTAGCTAATATTAGTATGTGTACATTAATACTAACTAATATTAGTATGTGTACACTAATACTAAATAATATTAGTATGTGTACACTCATACTAACTAATATTAGTGTGTGTACACTAACACTTACTAATATTAGTGTGTACACTAATACCAACTAACATTAGTGTGTACACTAATACTAACTAATATTAGTGTGTGTACACTAACGCTAACTAATATTAGTGTGTGTACACTAATACTAGCTAATATTAGTATGTGTACACTAATACTAACTAATATTAGTATGTGTACACTAATGCTAAATAATATTAGTATGTGTACACTCATACTAACTAATATTAGTATGTGTACACTAATACTAACTAATATTAGTGTGTGTACACTAATACTAACTAATATTAGTATGTGTACACTAATACTAAATAATATTAGTATGTGTACACTAATACTAACTGATATTAGTGTGTGTGCACTAATACTAACTGATATTAGTGTGTGTACACTAATACTAACTGATATTAGTGTGTGTACACTAATACTAACTGATATTAGTGTGTGTACACTAATACTAACTGATATTAGTGTGTGTACACTAATACTAACTAATATTAGTGTGTGTACACTACTACTAACTAATATTAGTGTGTGTGCACGAATACTCACCACAGATGGACGCTCACCGACTCTGGACACAAACTCAGCTCACGACGACCTCCAGATTTCCTCGGATCTCAGGACGGCGACGCTGAGTGGTGTCCCCCAGGGTCGCCCCCATCACCCACACCGCTTTGAACGCTGGTCACAAGCGCTGTGCTCTGAGAGCTTCTCGTCCGGTCAGCACTACTGGGAGGTGGACGTGGGGAGCGCGAGGCGGTGTTGTCGAGTTGGAGTTGCGTACGGGACGATCCCACGGAGAGGGAGTGATGCAGAGTGCCTCCTGGGAGAGAGTGACGTCTCCTGGTGTCTACAGAAACTTGGTGACAGCTTCTCAGTGCTGCATGGCGGGGTAGAGACGTCACTGTCGGTGCCGCAGCCTCCGCCGAGAGTCGGGGTCCACCTGGACTGGGACGCGGGGCTGCTGTCGTTTTACAACGCTGACTCCATGGAGCCTTTGCACTCGTTTCACCACACATTCACTCAGCCCCTACACCCTGGGCTGGCGGTGGGGAGGGGGTTGTTTTGGGGGTTGTTTGGGGGGTTGTGGTATGGTATAGTTGGTGAGTCAGTGAGGATTGTGGATCTGAGTGGTACGTCCTGAGAGAGGTGAACATGAACAGCGCAGAGGATAGACGCCACGACGCACGGCGCTCGCCACCCTCGTTGGTAAAGTCACGAAGATAACAAAAAAGGTAAAAAAGAAACAAATTAATAATAAACATTAAATACAAATTTAAAATATAAAACCCAAAGCTCATGACGTTTTATATCGCAACACAAGCGGTCGTCATCAGTCAAGAAAAGTTTTATGTCAAAACAATAATATTGATTTTAAAATGTATAAATGTATGCGTACGACAGTGGCATTGTAACGCTTGTATCGTCGATTCTACAATAAAAACAGACAACACATACAACAACAATGTAGTTGTGTACAGTGACATTCGTGCTCACTGTTCATTAATTAAACACGAGGACCAAATCGTCTACACAGCCACTGCCAAGCAAATTAAATCTACAAATTAATAATGAAAGAGACGGCGCCAAACACCAAAGGCACCAACAATGTCCCAGCTGTTCAAGTCGTCTGCTGCTGCTGCGTCATGGACGTGGTGACGTCACCACGCTCACTCCCACAACCACCACCACAACCACCACGACAATAACCACTACAACCACTACCACAACCAGCACCACAACCAGCACCACAACCACCACCACAACCGCCACCACCACAACCGCCACCACCACAACAACAACCACCACAACAACTACCAAAATAACTACAACAACCACCACAACCACCACAAGAAACACCACCAAAACCGCCACCACAACCGCCACAACAACCACCACAACAACTACCACAACCACCACTACAACCGTCACGACAATGACCACCACAACCACCACCACGACCACCACGACAACCAGCACAACAGCCACAACAACCACCACCACCATAACCACCACCACCACAACCAACACCACAACAACCACAAGAACCACCACAACAACTACAACCACCACAACAATCACAACAACAACCACAACCAAAACTTGGGTCGTAATTACATGGTCACGACGGGGCTGCTGAGCCACCGTGGATAGAAAACACCCACAACACAAACGGGTCAGCAGGCAGGTAGGGGGGGATGGTGTCACGAACGGCGGGAAAAACAGGACCGGTCCTCTGATTGGTAGGACAGATCCGCTTGTTTAGAGGATGAAAACCGGATGTCTGAGAGAGCACCGGTCCGGGCAGAGTGGCGGGAAATCCGAGCCACTTGATTGGACGGGAAGCCAGCGGTTCAGCGCCGATTTATCTTTGATGTAGAGGACAATAAAAAGGGTAGAGAAGGTAGGGAGAGTTGGTTCGTATTGTACTCAAGCCAGGCTTGGGGCCGTCGACTTTCCAGCCACTCGAATATCCATGTGATGAGTCGAAGTGCAGGGAGGATCCGACCCAGCAGCTCCGTACGAATCGAACTGTGAGTACCCGAGAGTGAGATATTGAGGCAATTGTGAGATTGTCTTAGGTGAGTGATTTGAAAGAGCCGATACAGATCGGGTCTTAGACCATCGGGAGAGAGGTTAGATCTGCCCTGCTGACTCAAACTTACTCGGGTAATTTAGCCTCAGTCTCGCTGAGAATAAACTGTTGGGGATCAATAAACCTTGTCGATTGGTTTCGTTGTACCCTGTGTTTGTGCGTGAGTGTGTATTTACCCACGTGTTTGCGCTCGCCCATGCGTGTAGCTCGTGGTTAGCAACTGCGTGTGGTGAACGGCGGCGGACTCGTACAGGGGCACGTCAGATTACACATATGCCCTTTTGTTTAACATGTGCGTGAGGCTAACAGGCGGCGTACACGCGAGATTATGTGTGCGGCCTTTTGTTTAGTGTGTGCGTGGGGTGAACGGGCGGCGTACCCGTGAGTTTGTTCATACAGCCATTTAAATAAATCTCCGAGACAACCCCCCAATCGGCTGCGTGTGTGCGAGTGACGTCCCTGCCCTCTGACCCCCGACCCCGAGTCCCGTGCGCGTGATGGGTGCGTGGCACGGGAGAGGAGCGATGTCGGATTTCGAGTGAGTGGGTGTAAGTGAGTGTGCGCAGAGATTGTCTGAATTGATCCCAGGTGGCTAAGCGCCAGCCATGAAACATGCCCCGAGGGGCCGCAGGGAAGGGGGGGGGGAGTCGGTGAGCAGTAACCCTCCCTTGGACACGGAAGAGGGGAGCAGTGGATCCCCCGTGAGCGAGGAGCCGGGGGTCAGCCTCCCCGACATCTCCCTTCTCTCCCTCCCTCAACGCCTTTCACTACCTCCTTCTCTCCGTCCTTACCTCCACTCCCTCCCTCTACTCCCTCCACTCCCTCCCTTCACTCCCTCCCTCCCTCAATCCCCCCTCCCTCCTCCCTTCCTCACCCTCCCCTCCCTCCATCTGGGTTCTACGTTCTCCCAGAAATGTTTAAGCCCCTAAAAAAAACTTGCCCGACGCCACTTGAATTTGTAGAGGAGGAGCGCAGATTTCGGGGCAATCGTTGGCGGCCCCGGCTCCTCACCACCTGGCTGCAGCCTATCCTGCTTCTCGTCTGTGGATCCTCCCTCCTGGCGCCTCTGAGGTCGTCCTCTCTGCACGAGAGCGAGCGACTTACCGTGCAGCGTGCTACAAGTTGAAATAATCGTTCTTGTTGTTGTTGTTGTCAACCCACTCCTGGACTCACACACTTCCCATTAGCATGGTTGGCGATGTACGGTGCGAAAGAAGTTCGCACGTACATAGATATGCACACGGACAGAGGCCGCTCCATGCCATGCAGGTTATCGGAGTTCTTTGACTGTACTTTGCCACTCTGCCAAGCGTGGGTTGTGAAGACGGGACACGTGTACAGACGTTGAGAGACTATCACAGCACAGGGCCAGCCACGGATGTCGCTGCACTGCCCCCTACTGCCCACGACGTCGTTTCAGCGTCACGACCGCAGGGAGCGTCATGGAGACGAAGGCGAGGAGCGTCAAGGAGGGTGTCACGAACCTGCTCCATGTGGCGCCATCTGGCCACCTCGCAGCCCCTAGCGTCACCCTCGCCTTCAAAAGGCTTCGTCATAAGCCGGTTTCCATCGCTCGGTGTTCATCAAGATGCTTGTGAAGCGTGCTCAGCGATTGCATTCCACTGCCATCGCTACACTTACAGAGTGTCTCACCCACTTTTCGTCCCTCCTCCCCCTTCGCCCTCCTCCTCCCCCCTCCTCATCCCCTCCTCCTCCCTCTCCCCCCTTCTCCTACCCCTCCCCCCTCCTCCTACCCCCTCCTCCTCCCCTCCCTCTCCTTCGCCCCCCCCCCCTCCCTCCCTCTTCCTCCTCCCCGTCCTCCCCCTCCATCTGCTCCCTCTCCTCCTTCATATTTTATGATCTTCAGAAAGTAGCAATCGATTATTATTCATTTCTGTTCAGGATACCAACAGCCAACTAAAGAGTGACACTAGGATGTAAAGTATGTTGGTGCACAAGACACTGACACAAGGCTCAGAGCATCATTCCACATCAAAGCGCCATGGCGGCTAGGAGATGTTGAGTACCTCGCCTGGTGTACAGGAGGTCGTGGGTTCGGTCCCAAACCTGACGCCTGCTGTATATTTGGAGTTTCCGTGTCTCTCCCTCCCTGTAGTCGCGTGGATTTTTCCGGTTTTACCTCAACATTTAGTATTATTAGTATTAGGCTACAATACATTTCTACGCGATGAGCCACTTCATTAAGCTGTCGTCACGTGTGGCGAGGTCGCTTCTGTGAGTAGAACTATGAAAGGGCCGCATAGCTCAGTGGGCCTTGCCTGACAAATCGCCCGATGCAGCTGCTTGTTGTTGTAGTCACCAGCGAGACGTCATGGAACTCAAATTGTCAACGTTGCAGTGGGCTCACTCTCTAACACACAGCCGGTTTGTGCTGAAGTAGTCACTGATTGTGACGTCACCACGCACGTGCCCATGCATAGTGACTGTGGCGCGTGTCTCCATAGCAACCGGCCTCTGTATTAATCAGCTGTTCACATTTAAGGCAGTAAAACAACTTATATCGATCTTCTTGTATCACTCGATAACAGCAGAGCCCTGACTAGCGGAGACAACGACAAAGATCCCCCGTGTAGCCTTAGCAGACTGTTGGGTCAAGTGCTGTTAGCAGGTAGCAGCACCTGTGAAGGCCAACACTGTGGCACGCGAGGGGGTAGGAGGCTAGCACCATTCCCGACCGCCTTTGTCTCCCTAGTGGTGATGTTTACTACACATCACACCAGGTACACATTTGAGGCCGAGTCGATCTAGGGGATGCCCAGGACCATTTGTTCGGATCATTCATCACCGGAATTGGCAGCTGTGAGCGGGAATCCAACTCGGTCGGCTCGAGTTCGTAGCGCAGCGTGCCGCTAACCGCTGCGCCACCGCTCCCCACGACAGGTGGCAGCGCAGCCCGGAGCGGCAGAGACGCGGACACCGTGGGGCTCCCATCACGAGGAGACCCCACGTGGAGACGTCTCAACGTGAACTCGCGCCGCTGACGTTGCCCCTTCTCTCCGTTGCCGAAGTCCAGGATGCCTCATACACGACATGTTGCGTTGAGCGAGCGAGCGGCCTGGCTGAGCAGCAGCGATGGACCGCATGGAGGGATCTGCTGAGTAAGCAGCTGACTGTCATCTACCACGTGACGAGCACGAGGCCTTGCCCAGCCCTCACTAATTAGAGACCAGCACATGAAGTGTGGTGCGTGGAGAGGGAGGACACCTGAGTTTGGGGGCGGGGTAGGGGGAGGGAGAGGGGCAGGGGGCGGGGTAGGGGTAGTGGGAGGGGTAGTGGGAGGGGCAGTGGGAGGGGTTGAGGGAGTGGGAGGGGAAGGGGGAGGGGGTGTGGGGTGCTCGGGAAGGGTGCATAATGTTGTATACGGCGCTTTTTCCACAATTAATATCCATAAGAATATTTACCAATATATATAGATTTTTTGGGGACAAAAATAATTAATAAAACACGTAAGCCAGTCGTAGCAGGAAAACCAGATGTCGATCATAAACAAATCACAAATAAATAAATAACAAACTCGAGGCGAGGATGTTAACAGCTATCTGCGAAGATATCCAGATGAACAAGTGTTTGATGTGCCCTAAAAAAAGGGTCTCTCAGAGGTCAGATCCGTCAGGCGGGTAGACACGTTGACGCCAACGAGTTAAACACATTTCCCTCTTATTTGCTATTGAAACAACGGTTAAAATTTAAAAGGCAACAACAAGAATAATCTAAAATTAGCGGTCCTCACGCTCACTCCAATTAAGACCAGGCCACCAGATACATCAGTGAATCAGTACCCAATTATTAAATTCGATATTAAATCACAAGCTTGGGGACAGAAATGCCGAGTCACATCAAAGGTTTCGAGAAGGAATTATGCGAACGGGCAAACTTACGAAACAAATTAAACAATATTCCAAAAGATCCCGACCGTTTTTGTCTCTCTCGCAGCGCGGAGGAACAGGAATTACACCTTATCGCAAGGGCCATCTGCACACCCGACCCAGGGCTTAATAATGGCCCCCCGCAACCACGAGCAGCAAAACCAGGCGAGTAGGTTTTAATCAGAATCAGAATCAGAAAGGGTTTTATTCGCCATGTAAGTTCACACCGACACGGAATTTACTTTGGCAGGATGGTGCATACATTCAACATATAGGAATCTAAAATCTTAAATAAGTTTTAAACAAGTCTTACTATAATAAGGGTTAAAAGTCTAACACTAAGGGGCTGAAGTATATAAAATTAAATAAATATCGAATATAAAATAGCTTTAAGATATAATTTAAAAATACAAATAGGGAAACATAGTTAATATCAGCAACGTGTCGTTATGTAGATCAAATGTTAAAAACAGTGTTAGCCTTTGGCCTTGTTTAACAGGCCAGCAGCAGATGGGAAGAAACTGTTTTTATGGCGTGAGGTTTTGGTCCTGATGGACCGAAGCCTTCTGCCGGAGGGGAGTAGCTGAAACAGAGAGTGTCCAGGGTGGGAGAAATCGGCCATAATCTTCCTCGCTCGCCTCATAGACCTTGTCGTGTGCAGGTCCTCGAGGGTCGGTAGATTGCAGGCAATTACCTTCTCAGCAGTGTGGATGATACGCTGCAGTCTGCTCTTGTCCTTGGCAGTGGCAGCAGCGTACCAGACGGTTATGGAGGAGGTGAGGATGGATTCAATGATCGCTGTATAGAATTGCACCATCATTGTCTTTGGCAGGTTGAATTTCTTCAGCTGCCGTAGAAAGTACATCCTCTGTTGAGCTTTCTTGGTGAGGGAGCTGATGTTCAATTCCCACTTGAGGTCCCGGGAGAGAATAGTGCCCAGGAAGCGGAAGGACTCTACAATTTTTACTGGGGAGTCTAACAGGGTGATGGGGGTGAGTGGTGCTGTATTCTTCCTGAAGTCCACAACCATCTCAACTGTCTTTAGAGCATTTAGCTCTAAGTTGTTCTGGCTACACCAGGTCACCAGATTGTCAGCTTCCCACCTATAGTCAGACTCATCCCCACCAGAGATCAGCCCAATGAGGGTGGTGTCATCCGCAAACTTCAATAGTTTGACGGACAGATGATTGGAGGTGCAGCTGTTGGTATACAGGGAGAAGAGCAGAGGGGAAAGGACGCAGCCCTGAGGAGTTCCGGTGCTGATGGACCTGGAGCCAGAGACTTGTGTTCCCAGCTTAACGCACTGCTTCCTGTCAGACAGGAAGTCTGTGATCCATTTACAGGTGGTGTATGGCACGTTCAGCTGGAAGAGCTTGTCCTGAAGCAGGGCAGGGATGATGGTGTTGAAGGCAGAGCTGAAGTCCACAAACAGGATCCTGGCGTAGGATGCTGGGGCGTCCAGATGCTGTAGGGTGAAGTGGAGGGCCATGTTAACTGCATCGTCAACAGACCTGTTGGCTCTGTAGGCAAACTGAAGGGGGTCCAGGAGAGGGTCTGTGATGGCTTTGAGGTGTGCCAGGACCAGGCGCTCAAAAGACTTCATTACCACAGATGTAAGGGCGACCGGTCTGTAATCATTTAGTCCTGTTGGCCTTAGCTTTTTGGGCACAGGGATGATGGTGGAGGACTTGAGACAGGCTGGTACATGGCATGTCTCCAGGGAGGTGTTAAAGATGTTGGTGAACACCGGAGACAGCTGGTCAGCGCAGTGCCTGAGGGTGGCTGGAGAGACAGAGTCCGGCCCGGCTGCTTTGCGTGGATTCTGCCTCTTGAAAAGTCTATTAACTTCTCCCTCCTGAAAGGAGATAGTCGTCTCTGTAGTATTGGTGGGGGATGGGGCCTCTTGGGTTGGAAGGGGTGGTTCAGGACAGTCCAATTGTCTTTCAAATCTACAGTAGAACTCGTTCAGGTCGTTGGCTAGGCGGGAGTCGTTAGTGGTGTGGGGGACTCTGGGTTTGTAGTTGGTGATCTGCCTGAGCCCTCTCCAGACAGAAGCAGCGTCGTTTGTAGAGAACTGGTGTTTTAGTCTCTCTGAGTACAGTCGTTTAGCCTCTCTCACCGCTTTGCTAAACCTGTTCTTCGACTCCTTGAATCTGTCTCTATCTCCACTCCTAAACGCTTCCTCCTTCTCCAACCTCAACCTTCTGATCTTTGCTGAGAACCAGGGCTTATTGTTGTTAAAGTTCACCCTGGTACGTGTTGGGATACAGCAGTCCTCACAGAAGCTGATGTAGGACGTCACAGCCTCTGTGAGTTCATCTAGACTATTGGTAGCAGTCGTGAACATATCCCAGTCAGTACAGTCTAAGCACGCCCGCAAATCTTCCACAGCCTCACTGGTCCACTGTTTAGATGTCCTCACAGCAGGTTTACAGAGTTTTAGTTTCTGCCTGTATGCAGGAATCAGGTGGACCATGGCATGGTCAGAGTGTCCTAGTGCTGCTCGGGGGACGGCGTGGTAGGCTCTACTGACTGTAGTGTAACAGTGATCCAGAGTGTTCCCTTCTCTGGTTGGGCATTTAATGAATTGTATGTATTTGGGGAGTTCGTGGCTGAGATTACCTTTGTTAAAGTCGCCAAGTACGATAACCAACGAATCTGGATTTGCTCGCTCCACACTCAGAATCTGATCGGCGAGCATGCGTTGGGCCTCTTTAACCTGAGGACAAGGCGGCAAATAAACTCCGACCAAAATGAGCGACGCGAACTCGCGAGGCGAGTAAAACGGTTTACAGGTTATAAAAATTGATTCAAGGAGTGGAGAACAATGTTGCAGAATCACTGTGACATCTACACACCAGCCACTGTTAATGTAAAAACAAATACCACCGCCTTTCGTCTTGCCGGAGAGTGCTATGTCACGATCCGATCTTACAAGATGGAATCCTGCTAGTTGTAGCGAAGTGTCCGGAATCAAATCACACAGCCATGTTTCCGTGAAGCACAATGCAGAAGCTGAAAGAAAGTCTTTGTTTTTTACCATCAGTAGCTGAAGTTCATCCATTTTGTTGTACAGTGAACGTACGTTGGAGAGGAAAAAGCTCGGAAGCACTGTTCGGATCCCGCGTCTGCGTAGCCGTACTAGAGCCCCCGACCGTTTACCCCTTGGGCGGCGTTTCGTTGCTTGAGCAAAGCCTAGCGCGGCATTGACTAGAATGCCTACTAATTCTGCCGCTGGAAGCAGAAAAGTAGGAATTAAATCCACAGGAGTTGTTTCCCTGATATTTAAAAGTTCGTCTCTTGTTAGAGAACTCCGAAAATCTTGGCAAAACACTGAATTGACAGACAAAACAAGACAAAACAGGGCGCACCGACCGGCTGAGGCTACCATCATCAGCGCCATCTTCGCACCAGCACGGGTGTGCTGAACAGCAGGACTCCCTCACCAGCACTGGTGTGTTGAACAGTAGGCCCCTCTCACCAGCATGGGAGTGGTGAACAGCAGGCCCCTCTCACCAACACGGGTGTGATGAACAGTAGGCCTCTCTCACCAGCATGGAAGTGAACAGCAGGCCCCTCTCACCAACACGGGGGTGATGAACAGCACGCCCCTCACACCAGCACGGGTGTGATGAATAGTAGGCCTCTCTCACCAGCACGGGTGTGATGAACAGCAGGCCCCTCTCACCAGCATGGGTGTGTTGAACAGCAGGCCCCTCTCACCAGCACGGGTGTGTTGAACAGCAGGCCCCTCTCACCAGCACGGGTGTGTTGAACAGCAGGCCCCTCTCACCAGCACGGGTGTGCTGAACAGTAGGCCCCTCTCACCAGCACGGGTCTGTTGAACAGCAGGCCCCTCTCACCAGCACGGGTGTGCTGAACAGTAGGCCCCTCAACACGGGTGTGCTGAACAGCAGGCCTCTCTCACCAACACGGGTGTGCTGAACAGTAGGCCCCTCAACAGCAGGCCCCTCTCACCAGCACGGGTGTGCTGAACAGCAGGCCCCTCAACACGGGTGTACTGAACAGCAGGCCTCTCTCACCAGCACCGGTGTGCTGAACAGCAGGCCCCTCTCACCAACACGGATGTGATGAACAGCA